CCACCCCAGACCCCTCATAGCCCTCCATTCCGATAGTACGGCTCTGCCCTGGGTGTCCCCGATTCAGCCGCGGCTGGTCAGTTTCAGCAGCAGGTGAATTGGGGACGCCTGGGGCAGAGCAGCTGGGATGTTGCCGGGTTGGTCCCGTAGCGCCGCCCCTCAGCGCTGTGGGACCAACCCGGCAGCACCCAGCTGCTCTGCCCCCAGCTTCCTCGATTCAGCTGCTGGTCAGTTTCAGCAGCAGCTGAATGGGGGAAGCCTGTCTGGCTCCCCCAGCACTTCCGGGTTCCTGATGGTGCTGGACCCTCAGGAGTCCCGGAGCATTGGATGCCGGACTAATGGAGTTTTACTGTACTAAGCTTTCTTGGACAAAATAAAAGCAGCAAAGATTTCAGATATCCTAACTTGTTCCAAGGCCTGCTGATCTGCCATGTTTTGTGTCTCTAAAATGTCCCTCGCTATCTGCATGAAAGACCCAATGCTCTGATGATTATCTTTGAGAATCCACTCAGGGAACAAAACTCATATTGTGTAATTTAGGTGACTGATCACACAGTCTGTACAGATTATTCTAAATATCTAGTACTTGAATGAACTATTGCTGCAAGCAGTTCATGAAAACTCATAGACTCAAGCAGGCTTGTAAAAGCTATTTCACAAACAATTACAAACAATAATATTAATAACAATACTTGGTACTTACACCACCTAGTGCATCTTGTCCATGGGTCTCAAAGAAGGATATCATTCTTTGTCTTCAGATCACTTCTCAAGGCCCTAATCTGCCATCAAATATACAAAACAGTCGATTAACATGTAAGGGATAGACTCAGGAGCAGATGGGGAAAGTCTTGAATACTGAAATATTCAATTGCAAAATTATATCATACATTCTATATGTCTCCCTCTGTCCATCATTGTAGGGACAAATTAAGGTAATCAGGGGACCTGGATACATGCAAAATGGGGCTCTCCTTAGCTCTGTCTCCACCCCTAAATGATGTGGTGGTCCCTTTTAGCCTGAAAGCATGAGTCTGGGTAGGTCTATGCTGCAAATACATACCTCTGTCTGGACTGTGTCAACTGACTTGGGCTTGAGCCACAGGGCTGTTAAAATATTGTGTAGACCTTTGTGTTGAGACTGGTGCTCAGACTCAAAGACCCTTCAAGGGGAAAAGGTCTCAGAGCCTGGCCTTCAGCCCAAGCCTGCATGGCTACTCTAGAATTTTGTGGTCCCTCAGCCCATGCCTCGTGAGCCCAAGTCAGCTGATATAGGCCAGCTGCTGGTGTTCAATGGCAGTGTAGATACACTCTCTGTGACTCTACTCGTCATGCTTTGCTACCGCCACCCAGGTGGAGGATTGGCAATGGAACACTCACAGAGTCGTGAGCTGTGGGAGTGTTATTAGGGGCCTCCAGAACAATATGTTTCAGATTTAAGAATCCTGTAAAATTAATAACAGGGTTCATACATCCTGGAAGTAATGTTGTAGGCTGCCCACAGGCTTGGGCATATACCTTTGCCATGGCCTCACATAATCAAGCTTTTCTTCATATGTGTGAGGTCTTAATTTTTTTCTTCTAATAAAATCTGAGATTCTGATGCCAATTCTTGACTCCAGGAACAGGGACCTTAGACCTATTGTCACAAGTCACCCCCCTCTTTTGGGGGGTCCCCCTACCCAACGTACTCTGGTTAACGGCTCGCCCCGGCCGAAATATCGTTTGCCCTGGTGGCGGGGTGAGGGGTCCGGGCCCACCCTCTCTCCGGACCCCGACCCAGGGCCCTAACACCAGGAACTCGATGCTCCTGATGGCAGCAGGTGGGGGCTTGCCCCTAAACTCGCCTGCTCTCGGGGTTCACGGCCCGCCCTGGGTCGCTGCCAACCCCGCCAGTGGGCCTACTCCACGGCCCACCTCCACCGTTGTACCGGGAACCCTCTTACCTCCTCGGCATCCCCCTCCCTCTGTGCTGTTCCTCCCTGTTGCGCTGCCTCCCTACCCCTTTTATCCTCCGCCATATCTTATAGCATGTGCTCACTTCCGGGTGCCCCGCCTCCCCCTGCCATCGCGTTGCTGACGTCAGCGGGTATCCCGGTCGCACCCGGATGACTGTCGGCTTCTCGGCTGGCCCTACACCCCGGCGCCATCCAGGTGGCGGAATTCCCCCCCTTTGTCGATGCCCGTGTCTCCCGGCATGAAGGAGTGACGGGGTTGCCTCACCCCGTCACACGCCTCCCCCCTTCGTATGACTTTCCCTTCACCCTTGCCGTTTTCCCTCATGTTTGTTCCCTCAGGTGGTTGTTGGTGGAGGGGTTGCTCCACCCCTCCCCACTCTTCACCCTCGTCATTGTTTCCTATACTTGCCGACCTTTCCTGCTTCGTCTCCAGCACTCGTGATAGGCAATCTGCATTCTGGTTGTCTCTACTTGGCTTGTGCCTTATTTCAAAAGAATAGGGTTGTAGGCTTAGGTATCAGCGTAGTATTCGTGCATTGGTGTCTTTCATATTCTGGATCCACTTCAGGGGTGCGTGGTCGGTCACCAACATGAAGTGGTTGCCTAGAAGAAAATAACGTAGGGAGTCGACAGCTCACTTAATCGCCAGTGCCTCCTTTTCTATGGTGGCGTAGTGTCTTTCCCGGGGCAATAGCTTTCTGCTTAGGTAGGCCACTGGGTGTTCGACCCCCTTTTCTTCCTGCGCTAGTACTGCCCCAAGCCTCTCCTCTGATGCATCGGTCTGCACCACAAATGGCCTTTCAAAGTCCGGTTGTTGCAGCACCGGCTCAGTTATCAAGGCCTTACGTAGCATTTTGAAAGCTTGCGCTTCTCGGGGCCCCCATACCACCCGTTGCGGTTTACTATTTTTAGTCAGGTCTGTCAGGGGGGCGGCCACTGAGGCAAAGTGTTCTATGAACCACCAGTAGTAGCCAGCGAGACCCAAAAATTGCCGTACCTGTCTTTTGGTATTGGGCCGTGGATAATCTCTGATTGCCCTTACCTTATCTAGTAATGGACGTAGCTGCCCGTTCCCCACTGTGTAACCCAAATATGATACCTCCCTCTTGCTGAACTGGCATTTTCTGGGGTTAGCAGTTAGTCCTGCTTGCCGGAGCGTCTGTAAGACTTTGTCCAAATGTTGCAGGTGGTCTCCCCAAGAGTCACTGAAAATGATGACGTCGTCAATGTATGCGACTGCATAATCTTTGTGTGTGCTGAGGACCCGGTCCATTAGTTGCTGGAATGTGGCCGCCGCCCTGTGGAGCCCGAAGGGCATTGTGACGAACTGGTATAAGCCAAACGGGGTCGCGAATGCCGTTTTTTCCCTCGTTCCTGGTGCTAGCGAGATTTGCCAATAACCCTTTGTTAAATCGATGGTGGATAAGTATCTAGCTTGCCCAAGGTGCTCCAAGAGCTCGTCGATCCGCGGCATTGGGTATGCATCGAACTTGGATATTGCATTGATTTTACGAAAATCGATACAGAATCTCACTGATCCATCTTTCTTAGGGACCAACATGATTGGACTGTGCCACTCACTCCGGGACTCCTCTATGATGCCCCATTGAATCATATCACGGAGTTCCCGTTGGACGGTCTCCCACAGTTTACGGGGCACGGGGCGTATGGGGTCTCGTACCTTTTGCCCAGGGTCCGTGTCTATCGAATGGCACGCGAGGGTCGTCCTCCCCGGCTTGCTCATCAGCCTGGTGGCAGATCGTTCTAGCAGTTCCTGGAGTTGTCTTCGTTGCACTGGGTTCAGGTCTTCTCCTAATGGGCTGGCGGTCCAGGGCACCTCCTCCTCTCTCCACGTCCCGAACTCTATCTCCGCATTTAGGGCTTCTGTCTGTGGGTTATCTCGGGGTACCCAACGTTTCAATAGGTTCACATGATAAATTTGTTTTCGACATCTCCTATCCTCCACTTGTACCTCGTAATCCACCTCCCCCACTTTTCACAACACTCTAAACGGTCCCTGCCACCGTGCTACTAATTTGGAGTCGCCTACTGGTAGCAGGATTAACACTGGGTCTCCCGGCCTGAACTCTCTGGCTTGAGTGTCCCTTGTATTGGGGAGCCTGTGTCTCCTGCGCCCGTCTCAAGTTGTCCCGAGCCCACTGGCCGATCGTCCGCATCCTCTCCCTTAATTTAATCACGTATTGGGCGGCTCCTAGTGCCGTCGAGGTTTGTTCCTCCCACCCCTCCCGCACTAGGTCCAGAATCCCACGGGGGCGTCGCCCCTATAACAGCTCAAAGGGGGAATATCCTACTGAAGCCTGTGGTACCTCTCGTACGGCGAAGAGCAGGGGAGGGAGTAGTTTATCCCATTCGCGGGGGTCATCTTGCGCCAGCCTCCGCATTGTGGCCTTCAACGTTTGGTTGAATCTCTCCACAAGGCCATCCCTCTGGGGGTGGTATATTGACGTCCGGATTTATTTGACCCATAGCCACTTGCATAATTCCATCATCAGTCGCGACACCAAATTTGGACCTAGATCGGTCAGAATCTCCTTTGGCAGGCCGACTCGGGAAAACATTCTCATTAGTTCATCTGCTATCACCGGGGCGGTGGTTTTACGGAGGGTTACCGCCTCGGGGTAGCGGGTGGCGTAATCTACTACCACCAGAATGTATTGATGGCCCCTCCGGGTTCGCTCTAGGGGGCCCACGAGGTCTAATCCCACCCGCTTGAACGGCTCTTCTACCAGGGGCATTGGTACTAGTACGGCCCGGGGGACCTTTGCTTTAGCGGTCAGCTGACATTGAGGGCATGAGGCGCAGAAGTTCTTAACATCTTGGTATATACCTGGCCAATAAAACCGTTGGAGCACCCGCTGCTGGGTCTTCTCCCCTCCCAAGTGGCCCGCCCATGGGTTGTCATGCGCCAGTTCCATTACTCTCCATCTATAGGCGCGGGGCACCACTAATTGGGCCTCTTCTCCTTGCGGCCTCTCAGCTGGCCCTACACCCTGTCGCCATCCGGGTGGCGTACTTCGCCCCATTGTCAGCGCCCGCGTCCCCCGGCGTGAAGGAGTGACGGGGTTGCCTCACCCTGTCACAACCATGTTTATACCCTAATTCAACCCTGCCTCTCTCACTTGTCTTTTCAGACCATAAGCTCTTTGGTTCAGGAATGTCTACTAGTATTATTGTACAATACCTAGAACAACAGGCCCTGATCCAGGCCCCATTAACAACATCCCCATTTAATGGATGATGACATTGAGCCTCAGAAAGGTTTGAGCAACTTTGCTGAAGGTCATGAACCAAGTTAGTGTCAGGATTTCAGCGTTAGCTTACAAGCAACATCCTATAGCCTCTCTTTGTTAGAAGCTGGGCGTGAGTAACAGGGGAGGGATCATTTGATGACTGCCTATTCTGTTCATTCCCTCTGGGGCATGTGGTATTGGCCACTGCTGGAAGACAGGATCCTGGGATAGATGTACCTTTGGTCTGACCCAGTATGGCCATTCTTACATTCGTATGTAAGTAATACCCCATTTTGAATGCATTGCCACTGTACAGTCTAGAGGTCACAAAGTTTGGATGCAATCCTGAGAGAAAGATTACAGACTTCACCCGTAAGATGCATTTGCCAGGAAGTTTGAAGGCTTAAAAACTCTCCAACATACAGTGCTGCTGCAAAACAGGAATAGCCCCATAAAACTGTCTCTCCCCACTGGGTACTCAGCACTTTGCTCAATCAAGCTCCACATGCCTTAATTGTTATATAATGAAACAGTATACTGTGATGCATACCTGCCAGGAGAGAGCTTTGGTACAGTGTTCAGTGACTCTTTCTGAAGACTGGCTCTCTAGACTCACATGTTTCCAGATAGACCAAGGACACTGCTCAAAAGTGCCTTAAAAATAAAATGGACATTTTTAACAAACATGAGCCAACCTACCAGATTATGTAATCTTACAGATAGATTTCTGGAAAGCAACAGCTAGTAGACCCTAAAGAGTATGTCTACCCAGCAAAGAAAAACCCGTGGCTGGGTGACTTGGGGTCCCAGGGCCTGGGCTGCATGGTTTTTTCATGCACTGTAGACTTCTGGGGTTGTGCTGGACCTGCAGCTGTAGCACACTCCCACCACACAGGTCCTAACCTGGACTTTAGCCCAATTCTGGAATTCTACAGTGCAGTGAAACAGCCCTGCAGCAGAGACTGACAAGCCCAAGTTGGGCCTGATGCAGGTGTGTAATTGCTGTGTAGACATGCTCTGACTGAACTGGCCTCATAAACAACGGTCCTCTTCATACTAATGTAACACTCATACCTTTGTATGTATGAATATATTTCTGTTAAACTTTATGCATCTGATGAAGTGGGCTCCAGCCCACGAAAGATTACGCCCAAATAAAATTGTTTGTCTTTAAGGTGCCACAGGACTGCTCATAGCATTAACATGGTTAGTTCTTTCTGTTCTTGATTTCTGCTCTTACCAAGAATCCAGAGAGAAAGATATTTAGGACCTGGTGGAATGGTCATTTCAGCTCAACAGGTGACACAAATAGAAGGAATTAATTTACTTTTCTGACAGTGTAAACCACTTTTGACGGACTCAGAATCCCCATAAGAACACAGCATTTTTTCTTGACAGAAGCAGGAAAATTCTACAGACAGCTTTTTGCCTGTGTTCAAACTTTCACCAGCTGAATAACCCCCAAGGTTTAATAGCTGATAAGACATCTGTAGCCAAAAGTAAGAGAAATGAGTTGATCAAGGAATAGCACCATGTTTCCAACATGTAGCAAAATGAATGCCTCTTCACCATCTGTTATGCGTGCAAGTATTTTATTATGTAAATGTCCATGCACACTGCATTCCTAACAAAGGAAAATTACTTTGACTACAATATGCAGATACTGCCAGGCTCCTGCATATGCCCTGAAAAAGAAAAAAGTGGCAGACAGAAAGTTTTGGGTTCATCTAGCCTCTCTAAAAGAAATAGAAAAGATCCAGTAGGTAGGGATTTGTTTCCTACATCTCATTAGCACATATAAAATATAGAAGCTGTTGAAGTATAAAACACTAAACTAAATCCAATGTGCTCAGATTAAGGATATGACAAACAGATTGTGCAGTATTTCTGATACATGATGGGAATGGTGTGTGCTTCCGACATTAGGACATGGAATTTGGTACAGCTCAACATTCTTCAATCTATTTAAAACTGGGACTCTGTCCTTGAAATGAAAAAAGGGCTGCCAATGGGCCCAAACCTGCAAGGTGCTAAGCCACACAAAGCTCTCAGCACCCTCTGATTTAATTGAGAGCTGAAGGCAAAGCAGTACCTTGTAGGATTGGGTCCTTTAATTGTCTCCAACACAAAGAACATTGCTGTGGGGTAAGGGTGCAGAGGCAAGATGACATTATACTCCACATCCTGGTTCAAAAATTTCATTAAATTACCAATTTAAATAGAAATGCAATTATCATAACTGACATATTTTTGGCAGCTATGATTAAAAAATCCCTTTGCTACAGTGTACCAAGGGAAAGCCCAAAGGAGTTCTGACACTGCTTCTTAATCAAAATCAGCAGAGACACAAAAGCTTTCAGTTAATCTATGCCAAGCTATTTTGGACAGCATGGCATTGCCTGGAGCACCCTTCTGGTGGCATTTGAAACACCTGGTGCCCTTAGAAAAAATACAAGCCTGTAATTTTCCTATGCTTTTTGTACCCATCTATCTACCAAGAGTTGCTGCTTCAGTGATACGAACATAATATAAATGTATGCAAAAACAAATCCTCACTCCTAATACTTTTGGTAATTTGTTCAGTCTATAGCACCCAGGTGGCAATCTGCATGAACACACTTCCTCATTCTGTATTTCATGTGGTTTAAATCTAATTAACCTATCATTTCATTCATTGATTTAACTTAAATCTTAATTTGATAATTGGAAAAAGTGTACATTCTAAGTGTGGGAGATTAATTGATACTTCAAGTGCACTTGAACAGAAGTAATTGAAGTCAATGCCAGAGTTGACCAATTTGATGATTTAAAGGTGGTTGGTTACTTACTTTGTTGAATTTATGCAATTTTTTACAGTTAGATCTATCAGTTTTTCCTGACTTAATTATGACTAAGTGTTGAACTTTATCGATAGACAATTGCTGCTGCTCTATTGATTAACTTGTTTTTTATTAATATATTATATTTTGTTGTTATAGTTGGAACATATTTTATGGTAAAGCAGTTAATAGCTAGAGAAATCTGAACATTAAAACATCCACTAACCACAGTTCAATAGGTACTTCTCTGTTTATCATTCCATAACTTACTATCTCTTTAAGGACACTTCTGAGAACTGCACATGTAGTAAAACATGCTCTTTTTTTTCTGGAAATAGGTAATGGTGTGGATAACAAAATATCAGCCACACCTTTGGACTTTTAAGGCAAGCTGGTTTTAGGCACAAGCACAGCAAATGGTATTGGCTCTTTGGGGAGCCTTACATTTTATTTAAGGACTGTAAATTCAAAGTTGCCTATTTCTTGCAGCATGACGGAGAGCCATAGGTTTATCAACCCCTTCAAGCAATTTGATTCACTACAAATTGTAAGATCAATCCCACATGTTCGTAAGCAACTATGCTGTTAATTTGTTCCTTCATTTTAGGTGTCACATAATGTCTGAAACATATATAAAATATTATGAACAGAAACAAGATCATATTATAAACTCTCACCCATTCAGTCTATCAGAACCAACAGTTTATGCACCTTTTATCTCCTTCTCAAAAGGCTGGGAGAGCAAATAGGCTGTGCAGCATTCCCCAAAGCTCAAAATATTTTGGCCATAATTAATATATGTAGGAAAGGGAGAGAGAGAGTGGAAATGGAAGAGAGAAAAATACACAACACACATTCTTTTGTATAAAAACTTGCTTCGACAATGTCTAACATTATTTATCTGTACTCATTAGAGGACCAAAGTTCTGTGAAATGCCTGATTTTTAAAAACATTTGTGAACATTCTTAGGGGAACATTGATATTTTCATAATTATGCATAAATGGGATCTCCAGTGCAGATAAGCTTGGCAGAATCTGATTTTTATTTTTTTATAATTTGAGAAATATTGGTTTATTTCTAATTTTTTATCAATTTAAGTGCTCAGTTGTGCAAAATTACGGATTTTAAAATTTCTAATTTGCATTGATTTAAATGGTTATAGTTCTGGAAAATTTATAATTCTATATATAATGCAAGGGGTCAGAGAATACTGCCTTAATAATAAAAGATGTTGAGATTAAAAGAGTGCATCAGAGAATGTGGAGGGACTTCGTAAAAACTATATGAATTTTAAACTGAACATTTCAGCAGCTATCAGGGTACTGATAGACAAACTACAGCTTGAGCCATCAAGCATGCAAAGATGGCCAAGGAACTCAATGCAGAGGGACACACAGAAAGTGATGTCCAGAAGTAAGTAGCTTACTGGAGCAAACTAACCAGTACTCAGTGTATGTCCCAATATACCTGTATCAACCAGTCTTACAAAATCAGATATTATAAGACCTTTTTTCCTACAAAGAGAGTGAAACACATAGAATTGGAAAGGTAATATAACACCATGAATTATGCTAGAGACATGTGTAGTGTTTCATGGTCTTAGTTAACAACAGTCATTTGTACAGTTTCAAAGCTACTTTAAAATAATTGGAGACTGTTACAAAACAAGGGCCCGCTCTAATTCTAGCAATCTTGAAAGCATATAAAGAAGCATAGACTCATAGAATACTAGGACTGGAAGGGACCTCGAGAGGTCATTGAGTCCAGTCCCTGCCCTCATGGCAGGACCAATTTAAGTCTAGACCATCCCTGATAGACATTTATCTAACCTACTCTTAAATATCTCCACAGATGGAGATTCCACAACCCCCCTGGACAAATTTATTCCAGTGCTTGACTACCCTGACAGTTGGGAACTTTTTTCTAATGTCCAACCTAAACCTCCCTTGCTTCAGGTTAAGCCCATTGCTACTTGTTCTATCCTCAGAGACCAAGATGAACAAGTTTTCTCCCTCCTCCTTATGACCCCCTTTTAGATACCTGAAAACTGTTATCATGACCCACTTAATCTTCTCTTTTCCAAACTAAATAAACTCAGTTCTTTCAGCCTTCCTTCATAGATCGTGTTCTCTAGACCGTTAATCATTCTTGTTGCTCTTCTCTGGACCCTATCCAATTTCTCCACATCTTTCTTGAAATGCGGTGCCCAGAACTGGACACAATACTCCAACTGAGGCCTAACCAGCGCAGAATAGAGAGAAAGAATGACTTCTCGTGTCTTGCTCACAACACACCTGTTGATGCATCCCAGAATCATGTTTGCTTTTTTTGCAACAGCATCACTCTGTTGATTCATATTTAGCTTGTGGTCCACTATAACCCTTAGATCCCTTTCTACTGTACTCCTTCCTAGACAGTCGCATATACATTTCTTTAATATGTAGGTTACAAGTTTCAGAGGAGTAGCCATGTTAATCTGTTTCAGCAAAAACAACAAAGGCTATGTTTAGACTGCAGGCTTCTTTTGGAAGAATATTTTCTAGAAGAGATCTTCTGAAAATCTTCTTCTGAAAGAGAGCGTCTACACAGCAAAAGCGCATCGAAAAAGCAATCTAAAAGCAATCGCATTTAAGCTGTGATTATTATGGACAGAGTGGATACCAGGGGACCTGTGCTTTTCCCCCTTTACTCTTCTTCCGAAAGAACTCCATCTTCCCCATCCACACATGCCTTATTCCGAAAGAGCTCTTTTGAAAAAAGGCTTCTTCCTCTTAGAAAAAGGTTTACCAATGTCAGAAAAGCCCCTCTGTTCTTTTAATTTTTTTTGAAAGAA